AGAAACAAACTGATGAAACGGGATACTTATTTACAAGTATGATGAATGCACCTATTATTCAGTTTCCATGACCACATGTACGTCTGTGCAGACTTTTAGATCTATATTCATCAGTATATTCAAGTCCTCAAGTCTTATTGATCAGAATTAGACCTACTCTAAGTGGAACAACTCACAACGGCCCCTCACTTATTCTTCAGTCATCTTTCAGATGTATATGGTTCATCAAAGACTACACTGATCTGATGAGACCAGCTTCATGCATCCTCCCAGGCATCTGTCTTTTACATCTCTATACCCTTTTCTAAAACAGAGCCGGGTTTAAGAGGACCATTATTTCTAAATATAGAGCTCTTTAATGCACTGGTACAACACCAGGCAGAACAGCAGTGACACCAAAGGCTACGTCTGCACTGTTAAGTTCCCTCGTTCTTAAGTGAGTCTCATCTTAGCACTCACCTCTTTTCATCGCCATAATTACGGCAAAAGAAGAATGATGATTAGATAGATCACTCTAAAATGATCTGTGATTCTCAACCAGAAATAGGACTACTTATAAGGATAGTTAACCCAAAAGAAGATATTTTGAAAAATGATTCAAATTTTTTGTCCATACAGTGAAATTTAATGAGGTCAAAATAAACACTGGACCCAGCAGACTTTCATTGTATGGAAATGATGACAGTATTTACATTTTTGGATGAACTAGCAGGTTCCAGAGAGGAGGCTAGCTACTTGGATTTTGCCTTATTAAACCAAATGGAAATTACGATGAAGAAAAGAGCAAAATAACATGTGTAAGATTTGAGTTAGGCAATTTTTTTTAGGATTCTATCATGGGCACATTAAAAACTTAACGGGGTTGGGAAAATACAGTCATTACAACAGAAATTCGCACAATCAGAAATTTTGTATGTGCAAAAAAGTTGCCCATGAAGATTTCACTTATGTTCAAATCGGTTATTACGCGAATTCGCTGAGTTGAAGGTAACTTCAATAGACAGTTGCCTGTATTTTGCCCGCGAAATTGAGCTAATGTGACCAAAGATGGTTGCCAGTCTTGTAGCCTATTGCCTAGTTACATTCACGTTCCGTTCCGTTATTTATTTCGACTCACAGAGTTGGACATATTTAAACTGTGCATCATCCAGATCCAGTTTCTTTCTTCAACTGGAGCTGAATTGTTGTTGTGCTTTCTGAATTGTTATTTTGTTTTTTAGACTTGCATCTGCGTTTGTAATTTGTTATTTTGTTTTCAGAATTGTGATTTGCTTTGCACTTCTCGGTCACCGTAAAGCATTCGAATTCAAAAACTCAATACAAATGCATTCAAAGCCGCTGTTAACGAACCCGCGCCGTTGTGGACGTCGTTATCACTGTCGCTATGGTTACAGGTGATATTGCGGCAATCGTGAGAGTAAAAAAGGTTTGACGTTGATTGTCGTGTATTTAGCAGGCTAGTTGTCAATGCCAAACACGTTTATTAAATATTTTTAGTTAAATGAGTCATTGTAAAATTAGCCTAATTTCAATCATATTGATAATAATGTTAAATAGCCAATATGATATAATCTGAGTTTATATAATAAATAAATAAATAAATAAATCAGGTTTGGTTTGGTATTGAAAGGGCCATATGGGACTGCATCTAAAACAAAAGGTTTAAAAACACTGTTTAGATCACAGTTTAATTACACTGAAACATGCATTTTGTTTGTCTGCTATTTAACAGCATGTAATCAGTCTTTTTCTGTCTTCTCCCTCTTGTACCTAAGCTAGACAGGAACAGGAGAAAAGAAAAAGCCAGAAAAAGAGTCATTAAATATGCAGTGAAGAGCAGCAGCACTTCAGGCATAGTGAGAAACTCACTGCTGTCAGAGCTTCAGACCTGCCATCCACCGGGAAACACTAACTCCTTCCTTATTCTGAGAGACATAAGCCGGGATATACGCAAGTATTTGAACACAGGGCATTTAGATGAACATACAGGGATGAGTAGGAAGCTATGGTCATTCTGTCAATTATAAACACAATGCAATTTATCAGTCTTTACCCATTACTCAATCGTGGTGTATCACCTCATAAAAGATTAATACAGCTGACATGCCTAAAGACACCCAAGTGCTTTGATTCGCTGAACAGTGCAGCATTGCATACATATGATAAAGCAAACCTGCTAAATTACCTGCAATTTTCTCCTTTCAGCAGCATAATAAAACCCTATTGTTGGCTGCATATTATGACACCTCTAATTAGGCACTCTGAAATTCTTTTTGTATTATCAATTTATTCATGTTTCTTCTCTTATATTCAGTAAAAGCATAATTAATTACGTTTAGGCCTACCACATTATCATTTCATAGGAATATTAAAGGTAACGTCTCTGTCTGTGTTGTAGAATTGCTTGCCTGTAAGTTGTTTCTGCTGAATCTCTTTTGCTGTAACTATGCAGACCATGATTTAGTTTTGTATCAGTGTATGTGGAGTTTTCTTGCCAAAGGTTGCCTGCATCATTGGACATATATTTGTTGCCTATACCTTAATGCAAAAATCCCACTGTATGTGAGAAAAGAGCTGATAGGAAGCCAGAATTAAATTAGCTTTGAGTGGATCCTGGCATTTGAGTGATCTAAGGCAATGAGCCAAAGAGATTGGGTGGGGATTGGGGGAAAAAGAAGATGGCGAACAAGACAATTGTGAAATAATGTCATAATTGGGGCCATTTACTATTATGTTTATGACACACGTGTTTTCGTGTCAATGTGTTTCATTAAAAATTAACATCGGGGAGGTAATCCTGTAGCTTTTAGCAGAGAAAGCTGACCACAGAAACAGGAAAGATCGAGGAAGCCACAGTTCAGGACTTCACTTTACTTAGTCACTCTTAAAAAATAATCATCAACATTAAAAGTGAACTGTCTAGTTTTTGTGCCACTAGTGCCTACATAATGACTTTTAACAGAACTCTGAAGAAAAACTGCTGCTGTTTAAATGTAGGGCTGGTTTGTGTTGTTTCCACATCATGTTTCTCCTTTCCTCTCTACACTGTGTATCATCCACTATTAAAAAGAGCAAAAAGGAACCATAAGAAACCAAACTTAGAACTACTATTAGAACTAGTGTACCATCAGAATAATTTTGAAACTGATATTTCAAGGTAAAAGCTTTCATACAGTTGCTTTAAAGGGGTCATATGATGCTTTTTTAAAGATCATTATTTGGTGTATTTGGTGTAACAGAATATGTTGACATGCCACACACACACGATGCGCAAAACTCCGCATTTGAACAGTCAATAGCAAATACTTAAACTAATAACAAAACATACTTACAGTAGCTGATTCAGAAGTGCCAGATTGTCATAGCAAAGTCAGAATTACCTCCTCTTGCACATTTGGGCGGCATTATGCAAATGTTTCCACATAGTGAGGTAGATATGTTTGGGGCGTGTTAGAACGAGCCGTTTTAGGGGGGCGTGGCAGAGTCTTAACTTTGATAAAGAATATCTCTTTGGTTTTGAGACTTTAGTCTTTGCAACTTCAGGGATCTTATCTATGCACAATCAGCTTGTAACACTCCAAAGAGAAAGGAACACTTGAAATCGCATCATATGACCCCTTTAAATCTTTGCTTTAAAGGCATTTCAAACACAACAGCCCTCCTAGTGGAGAATTAAAGTAAGAGCACCTTATAATTCAAGAGGTATATACAGTAAGAAAAAGAAAGCACACAGAGAAGTCACAGGAGTGATAGAGGAGTATTAAGTAAGCCCGTGATTGTAAGAGTGTTTGACACTCTTATAAGAATCATGAATAAAATACAGAAATAAATATTTATACATTTAAAAACAGCTATGGATTCTGAAGGTTTGAATGAATAGCATGCAGGAGACAGCCTCGAACAGCAGATGGCAGCATTGTATAACAACATAACACATAACTCAATTAGTAAAAATGTGTAAGCTCATGTTTCTTTCTTTCTTTCTTTTCACTGCAAATGTGTATTAGGGTTTCACGACTCTAATTATTTCTTGGCTCTGAAAATGAACTTTGTACTGATCAAAGGAACTATTTGGCTCAGATCTTATGAAGCCACTGATACCAGCTTTGATTGGTACTTTCAGGGCACTGTTCTTTATTCATGACTTGCATTTATAATAGCTAAAAGGACAAAAGGTGGCTACAGGAGAGAAACATGAGAGAAACATGTCATTAATGACAACTATGTCTTGTATATATTAATGACACCTATGTATGTGTTGTATTCATTATAATATTTTTATTGTGTCCTTAAAGCTGGCTGAGATGGAGTGACTACAAGTATGTCCTACTAAAATAAATCAAACAAAAAGAATACTTTTTAATTAAATTTAAGTTAATTTTGATCACAAATCTTGCCAGTGTGATTAAATAGCGTATGATGTGTGATGATTGTGTGTGATAATTCTCTTTCTTGAATCATTCACATACACAGACCAGATATTTAGTCATCAAGCTGTCAAAAATGTGCAGGGAAAAATTAATTTACCAACAGTCTAGATTCCACTTTAATCATTTGCAACAATTAATGAAAACAGAAGGCCATTACTGTGGCAGAATTATTGTTTATAATCATAATTATTTATGTCCTGCATGTAAAACACTGAGGTTATGGCTGTAATGTACCCAATACATCTGCTAAGGATTACGTAATGTGAAGTTGATCTAGATTATTACATTCTTAATTGCATATTTTTCAGTGACTGAGTCTGAGTGTATGTACAGAATATGTGCATATTTATATACACGTGCAATAGGTCTGCATTTAAATAGGTCTGCGTGTATTATTATGTGTGCCCCTTATTAAGTGCATCTGTGTGTGTGTGTGTGTGTGTGTGTACATGTGTGACACACAGAGCAGACACACACAGTGCCAGTTTCCCCTGTAAAGCATCTCCATGGTGTTCACTCACTCAGTATCTCTGGGTTTGGCTGGCAGAGGAGCTCAACTCTCCTTCATAGACAGACTCACAGGCTGATGCTTAATCCGTTTCATCAATGTGTATGGTCATATTTGCTCCGGTAAGACCTCTCTTTTTCTAAAACCTTCAAGTATTAGGAATTGTATTTGACCAAAATTTATTGGCACAATTATACCACTTATTTCAAACACTGCTTAAAGCTAAAATAAAATATGTATTGTTTATAAAAAAAAAAATCATTTATTTGTATCTTTTTTTTTTCTAGTCAATATTAACCGACTAGAAATGTAATATGATGTGAAAGTGTGTCAGTAAGTATTTGCTCATAATTTGACAGTCACAAGATAAAGTGTCTAATGAAAGTAAAGTTCGGACAGTATTTTGTGCAGTTTCTCATGATCACATTCTCAAAATAGTGTTTAAATGCATGTAAATATGTCTATCAGGAATCAGATTTAATTATTAGCTGCTCTTTGGGGTCGCAGCGTCGGCTCCCTGTTTGTAGTCTCTCTTGCTTGAATAATTCATCTGCTCTTGTTGAAATGTGCAAAAGATCGATGCCATCCAGCTCTTTGACAGACTTTAATGATGAATCTGAGCTGAGCTAAATGCAGCATGATTACATGTTTGTATTTGCACGTACTATATATGCATGCATATTTATGTAAAAAATTTGGTAATTAGTGTGTGTGAATATATATGATTGTGTGTGTGTGTGTTTCTGGGTGCGCTGGCAACCCCTGGGTAACCTTTGCATAATTCACTGGGTCTCATCAGAGACTCATCAAAGAAGCTACCTATTTTCTTCTTTGTTTAATCTGTTCTGTGTAAGCATAGTTAATATATGTTATATGGGATATTAATTAAATATTCACACATTCCCAAAGCAATTTTCATATAGTCTGGAGAAAGAAATAGCATAATACATTTCTAAAAACTCTCCATCCTTCTGTGTCTCTATGTCTTCCTTTGACTCACACAGACCCACACACTCATAGCATAAGTATTCCAGACTGTATTTAATTAATATATACAGTGAAGGCATTAAATCTTAATTGAAATGGCCTGCTTCTTTTCACCTGCTGTATCATATTATCGGAAAGAGAACGAGAGGAAGGGACTGGGGAGAGAATAGCAGGAGACTTGGACACATTTCTTATCAAACACCTGTGTCCACGCAGAGAATAAAGCCCTGGCACTTGTCCAGTAAACCTCCAGCCTTTTCATTTATTATGCCAAACGCAAAACTGAATGGGGGGAAAAAAATATTCAAATTGTGTCAGACAAACGTGTTAGTGCCCGGCATCCAGGTTTACAGTAACTGCAAGGGTTAGTGCACTTAAAAAGCATCTGTGTCTAATTTTGCACGATTAATTGTGCGGCAGTTGGATGAAAGGTCATTTAAATTGACCTTAAATCAAAAAACAGGAGGATAATTAAAACAGAATGTGAGGTTAATTTGTCTTGACTTTGTAAAGCTACCGATGGAGAGTCTAGAGAACTGATCTTTGTCCCCTCCACATATAGGCTTATATCTTCAGGGCTTTTCACTAATAATTAGCTTTTTTCTCCTACAGCTTTTTGCTGTTTTAGCATTTGCAACATGTGGGGGGTATTCTGGCCAGATAATGGTTAAAGTAGAATGTTTGGACAAAACCCAAAGCAACATCAGCATCAGTTTCAACTACCCATTCCGGTAAGTGTTCTTAATTACCACAACTCAATATAAGTATTATACTGCATGTTATACTATAAACATGTATTATCAGTTTATGCAAAAAGACTTGATTTTATATCTTTGGTTTAGTTTAGTTTTAAGTATTAATTTACAAAATTATAACCTACACAATGAAACTATTGTGTAATCGTGCGATCAGTAATTTATTTCCTTACTAATTTTTTTAACATATAAGTAGTTTTAATAAAGTGGTTTAATTTATGTTATTTTAGTATTTATATGCTATTATAGTATTTATTCATATTTTGAATTAGCCTTTAATTTAGATTTTCAGTTTTCATCTTAATTTTAGTTTTTGTTTATTTTGTTATGTCCTTTTGTCATTTTTATTAGTTTTGGCATTTTTGATTTTGATTTTGATTTCTATTTCCATTTCTATTATTATTTTAGTTCTAGTTTTTAGTACTGCAACCTATTTTTGTTTCAACATTTCTATTTTTTGTTAAGTTTTTAATCTACTATTTATGTTTTTTTTTTTTTTTCAGTTTTAATTTTATAAACAAAAACTATTTTTAGTCGTTTCCGTTAAAAATAACGACACCAAAGCTGGTCATTTCATGAAGGCCACCATTCTGAATTCATATGACCAGCCAAATATAATTCCCTTTATCTCAGTAACACCCAGTTATTGACTACTTTCACTTGTAGAATAAATTAATCATAGCTAAAAACCAAATGTAAAATGCCATCAGTAATTGTAATTAAAGTGAGTGACTATTTTCAGAAGGTATTTGACATATTAGTGGCATCCCATTGTCGTAGTCTCGACTTTTAAAGATAACAAAAAGAAACTGTGCTTGAAACAAAAATAAGATGTGCTTGAAACATGTTAAAGGAGCAAATTCCTATGTTTTCTCTTCCCAGACTCCAACAGGTACACTTCAGTGCTCCTCTATGTGAAGGAACCAGGAAAGAGACTCTCTTTCTCGAGGGGGATAATGCTTCATCTGCACAGTTCTTCGTCACTGTGTCGGTCCTGGCTTTTCTCTATTCCCTTTTGGCCACAATTGTTTACTTCTTCTACCAGAACAAATACAGAGAGAAGAACAGAGGTCCAGTAGTTGTGAGTGCATTTCAGAATTTCTGTAAGAAATGTATGCTGTAAAGGGAAAAGTCTGAGAGCACAAACTGTGCAGAAAAGCTCAATATAACTCAGTTGAATCATCAAGAACTCTTTCTGTTTATACTCCTCTTCTTTTCAATCCCCATAGGATTTCTTGGTGACTTTAGCGTTCTCTAGCCTGTGGCTGGTAAGCTCAATTGCCTGGGCTAAAACTCTGTTTGGGGTGAAGACAGCCACTGATGTGCATCAAATCCTGCTGTTAATATCTGCTTGCAGAGCCCAGGAGAACTTATGTGAGGTCTTGCAGGAGCCCATCTGGACGAATCTCAACATGTCTGTGGTGAGTAGATTATTTTTTACACAGTATTGATATGGGGAAGAAAAAAAATCATATCAATTCATTAGCAATTGACATGCACTACCTTTTAAAAATATGGGGTCAGTAATACTTTTATTTTGCAAAGATGCACTAAATTGATCAAAAAAGACATTTATGATGTTACAAAATGTTTTTATTTCAAATGAACTCTCTATTCATTAAAGAATCCTGGGGGGAAAAGTATCATGGATTGCACAAAAATAAAAAATTATAGAAATATTACAATAAATAATAAGCAGTTTTCATCATTGATAATAATCAGAAATGTTTTCATTTTCATCAGCATATTAGAATGATTTCTGAAGCCTCATGTGACACTAACGTCTGCTGAAAACTCAGCTTAGCCGTCACAGGAATACATTACATTTTACAATATATTAAAATAGCAAATTTTTAATTGTATTAACATTTCACAGGATCATTGTTTAGCTAGTTTTTGTTTATTAATGTATTTTTGGACAATACATGCATCATTGGTGAACATGAGAGGCTTTTTTCAAACACTTTTTTTCCACAAACACAAAACTTCTTTTTAACCCCTAACGTTTGAACAGTAGTGTACATTTATATGCCTAATTATGTGGGCTTCACATAATTTGCCACCAACAAGGACTCCACAAAAGCCTAGCAACCACCCTAGAACACCCTACAAACCACCAAACACCCTCCTATCAATTAGATAGAAACCATCCACAACAGCCTAGCAACTGCTGTCAGACTTTTTTATGTTTTTACAAATGTTTTAAACCATCAGATAAGGCTTAGTCAAGCCAGTATGTTTTAACAAATTTCTTTTCCTATAAAAATGGCCAATTTTTCAAACAAATTCCATAATTCGAATTCCTCCTTGTGTGCTTACAGGCCTTTGGTTTTTTGAACTTCTTCCTTTGGGCTGGTAATATTTGGTTTGCCTACAAAGAGACAGGTTTGCATAAGTCTATTCAGCGCTATCCCTCCAGAACTCCCTCTGAGAAACGCGACAGCTTCAGGCAGTACAGTCAAACCAGTTTTGATCAATCTGGAGCTGGTTTTGGCCAGAGGCTCTACAATCAAGGGAGTTTTGACTTATCAAGCGGAGGCTTCAGCCTACCCCAAACCAATCTAGGACAGCCGATGCTTTACCGACAGGTGGGGAGTCCCACATCCAGAGGCCCTCTCATATTTGTTAATGAGATGTGAGAGAGAGTGTGAGTGTGGAGCACAGAAAGAAAAGAGAAGAGAAACACTGTTGTTTTCTCAGTCATCATAACACAGATAATTTGCCTTTGTGAATGTGATATTTCTATCATGTGATGTAGAAATTGTGACATTTTTGTAGATATCAGTCTGCATACTGTTATTTATTTGTTTACTGTATAATTAAGTGCCATTGAATTTAAAGCTCTACCTTGATATAGTATATAACCTTTTTTGCATATTTATAAATATATATACACACATATATACACATATATACACATATGCATATGAACAAATGAATTTACCATGTCAGATATGGCTCTGTGATATTTCTGATGCCATTTAGCATTGTATGCCTATATTCTTATAGTCTATGTTTTATGTTTAAATATTTCCTTTACAAAAAGTGCAGTGACAGTACCATGGTAAACACATTGGATGGCAATACTATGGTACTTTGATATAGCCTATATTTAGAAATGCCATTTATTTTTAGCTTTCCCAAGGTATTTTAAAGAATAACATGGTATCAAGATCAAGTGTCAGACAAGATATGGTGTTCTTTTTGTTATGTTTTCTATGTTTTTTATGTTCTGCTATGAATAATGATTAATTACCAGTAGATGCCTGGGAAAACCAAATGACTTGAGTCAGAGAATGGCATGGAAACCCTGTGGACCGAGGATGATGTCTAGTCGGAGATCTTTTTAATGAATCATTTTGTCTAACCATACACAGTGTTCAGAAAAATGCATGCAAAAAGATGAGATAAAATCAAATGCAAAAAGTCAGTCTGTTGTTCCAGTTTATTGTAGCATTCCAAATTGTATAAATGTTACTATGTTATACTGATTGCGTCATAAAATTAAGTAATACAACTATTCTTATTCCTCTAAATGGTTATTGTTTTTATGTATTTCATCATGACCAATGCTACCATTACCAATTCAGATCGTTCCTGGAAAAACAATGAATGTTAAATGAACAATCTTCGTGGAAATTAAAACAAGAAACACAGAAACATTTGGGGACTTATGGTGAATTATCTTTTATTCTATCAGTGCTTGTGCAGTTTCTTTGTTTGCGGTGTCTTTTACAAAAGAGACAACCTCCATGGCTGAAGCTACTTGTTTTCCCCATTAAGCCTTTTAATGAAGGGGTGTAAGGGAGCAATTAGGATCTTTTGGCCTGTCAGACTCCTATCAGAGCCATGTGGTTAACATCTCTATATCTGCAGAGTATATCCAGCACTGCAGTGAAGCTAACTGCTTGCAGCTGCCTAGGATCCAAATAGCAGCTTTTAGGTTCTTTTTAGCCACTGGCATGTTGCTTGTGCCAAATTAAAGGTTACCACTGAGAATCTCTACAGCTGTTCAATTACAGGCCTTGGACTAAAAGAGTGCAATGAGCGCTTTAAAGAGCTTGGTAAAAACAGAGAAATGACAATGGAAAGGCAATAATGCATATATAATTTTGATTAACAGGTGTCAAATAAGATGTATATTGTAAATATTCCCAGTATTTTTACAGTATGTAACAGCATTTCGTAAATTGTAAATACTGTGAATACTACATTATAGTTCAAGGCTATAGTTAAAGGAATAGTTCACCCAAAAATAGTTCAAAATTTGATTTAGCATTACATTAGCCTCGCTGTTCCTCTACTGCAGTCCAGTTTTTGTCATTCTGTTCATCCATCTGTCACTTCTGGCTCTTCGACAGGGCCATGGTCATAGGCTACATAAAGCTACAGCTACAGTACATGAGTTAAGTTGCAGCCACCATCATCTATTACCTAAAACCACAAATAAATGCTTGTCTTGATTTATAGAAGTAATTATTCCAGTAACTACCATAGTACACAGTGTAGAATTCAAAATTCACAGACTACAGAACTGTATACATTTAACTTTAAAGCAATATCTATCTAATATCTATTACATAATTGTAGGAATTTTTCATAATTGTAAACATAATTGTAAATATTTTCTAAGAAGAAAAAAGTGATATCATATCAGGGAAGTGATATCATTTTTTTTTTAAATTGTGACTGTCAGGATTAAGAGGCCAGGCTTTTTACAGCCTCAAACGCAGGTCAGTATTGACTCATTAAATTAAAATGACACACAAATGCTTTGAATTACGTACGATTATTTTTGACAGCGATTTTATTCCATACAGTGCAGCTAACACAATCTGTGACTCTGAAACAGGACAGCTGTCTTGCCACTCAGTCAGTCAACAGTCAATTTCACAATTTATGAAATTATCAAAATCATTGCTGAAACAAAATGAAACTGAAGTTAAATGTAGAGTAAATTTGAAATAAACTGTGAGTCCATTTTTTGAACACTAATCTGTTACACAAAAAAAAGATGTAGCAGATGTTGCTTAAATCTTTGGCAATGGCATCTTGAACTGATTCCTTAAAAATGTAAATACTAAAGAGTTTAAAAACTTTAAGTGACTTTTATGAAATGAAAACATTTATGAAATGATCAAAATCATTGCTGAAACAAAATGAAACTGAAGTTAAATGTAGAGTAAATTTGAAAACCGTATCAAAATAAAAACAAATGTTTTATTTATCGTAAAAAAAATGATTTTGTACGAAAGCAGGTGGAAACTACCTTTCAAAGCACCATAACATTGTCTAATAATCTAGACTAGAACAAATTCAAACTTTAGGCATAACCAACCATTTAATAATTCTTATGCAGTGCCATTTATGAATGTATGTATCACTTGCTCTATCAGATGCTATTTTATACTTTTCAACTGCCAAAAATGAATGAATAGGACTGTGGGATATCATGGGCAGTAAAGGATGTAAAACTGATTTAAAAAGGCATCTTAGTAGACATGATATTAAATTAAATTTGGACATGCTGACCTTTTTGTTATTTCCTTATAAATAACTGATCCATACATACAGTTTAGAACTTCACTTGACTGCTTTATTAGTAAATGACTTTATATGCATTTACAATTGGTGATAAAGTTTCTTGGCAATGTTCAGCCTCAAATGTTCTACTAATACTGTACAATCACCCCATTGTGTTTTAGCTTCCCTCTATACTAACACATGGCCAATAGTGTATAAGAGCACCGTATCAGTGTGATTCTTGTCAATCCCAAAAGTGGGACACGTTTTCCAGCTGCATCCCTGACCATTAGCGCACGTAAAACCAACAACATCACCATAAATCAAGCGTAGCGTTAGTTCTGGCAGGTCACGTTAGTCAAGCTCGCATCAGCTGACTCTCAGCTGATCCCCATCAACCTATGGGAATATGACACCTATCTAAGTATTCATATATAAGGTCCCGCAGTAGTATCAGCAGTTTTCGCATTGCTCAATAGCTAATTACCCTCCTCCATCCCCAACTCCTCCTCTGACAGTCAGAATTCAGCCTTCTGATTCTCCTTTGAATCAGACTAATTCTAAAATGTGTACATAACATTATTGAACTTTAACGATATCTGCAATACATTTATGTTGGTTCTGTTCTGTTTACCCTGGGGGGGTTATCGCTGCTCTCCCTGCTCTCATCCATGCTAGGCTGCATGGATGCGCAGGGAGTTCTTGCCCAGAACGGAACCATACCGCCAATCCAAACTGTATGCTAATTGTCAATCATCTTTGACGATAGTGGTCCTGACAGAATTACAGTCATTTTATTAATTTCAAGTAATTACTTTGTTTCCACCATACCAGATCACTGGAGAATTGTTTTATATTAGCTGCAAAAATTCCTGCGCGTGAATATCCAGACTCCGAACATTTTTGTACTAACAAGCTTGTTGTTATATATCGAAAAATCTATTACATTTTTTTAGAGGGTATTTTGAGAAGTGCAACTGACATGTAATTTTGGGAATGGATAATAAATACAGATCTGAAGCCTTGGCAGTTGAAGGCACTATGGGAGAAAACGTGAGATTTACAAATTACATTTTCAAATGGCATTTAAGATTTTTACTCCAAGCAATTGTCCCCTCTAGGGCTGCATATTGTTTATCTAGCTATTTAATTATGTAAAAAATATATACAGAATTATATCTTGGACAGGACTGGATGTAAATGTACTGCATGCTTCTCACCATGAGGGAGAAACCAATTAGTTTAAACCCATAATTCCTTTAGCCAGAGGTTAGTGTTCAGTACCACAGTTGGGTGAGCACCTTGCAAATTGGCTTAAGCTGATCATTGTCTTATCTTTATCTTGTTGAGTCGTGCCCACTGAGAAGTCAATGCCGTTCCTACTACCAGAGCCTGATCTCGTAATCTTTTGAGGGTTAGTTGTGTCAGGGCTTGAGTTACACTTAGATGACATGACTGCAATGTGCAATGAGGACACCAAGGTGCCGTGAGGACAATTTCCAGAGAGATAGAAACAGACAGTGAAAAGGAAAAAATGCATTAACATTATCAACACAAAGAAATAAATAGAAATGTTACAGTACTGTTAAAGCAAGGCTAGATATGGGATAGTACATGTGTAGACAAATTCCTGTTTTTTGCTTGTTGACAGTTGAGGATTTACAATCTCCAAGAGGATTCTTGCTGCATTCAGTCTGACAAATAGGATTAGAATGCTACAATAAAACAAATAGTAAATGACTTCATAAAATGCTTACAAATGACACTTAGTGAGTCAAATGTTAGAAATAAGCATTTGATCCAGTGCATACTGTGCCTGTTTGTTGAGCAGCACAGATGATAAGGTTGAATAGGCAGCAGAACTGAAAGTTGAAATGACAGCCAGAACAAAGATGTACTGTAAGAGTGAATTGCTGATATTGGAGACCATTTATCATTTTAACAAAGGCAACAGCTGACTGAAGAGATTAAATAAAGGTATTGTGATCATTTTGCCTTCCTTATCTTAAAGCAGGTTTGCTGCGAGGGCAGTAATTATATACTGTTAATGTAACCTTACTGGCATAGTAGTTTGCTGCCCCGTCAAGCTGCTTGAAGCAACACATGCTGTTATGCTCTTATAAATGTCACAGCCTTGCCACTGAACATCCTTTCTCAGAATCAGGATTAGTGATTACTGACATCATTTTCTGGTTAAGTAGGAGAACAGACACCACTGAAAATATGAGACA